CACACAACAAATAAATGGATGGTACTACTCACTACTCACCGTCATCATATATTTGACCATGTTTGTTGAGGGCAGTCAGGTCGAGACACTTCCTGCGGCCGTGACAGTCCCATATCTAAAATAATGACATCCACAAGTAACAGGAATCTGTCAGCTAGGAAAACAGCTCCGAGTATGTGTTCTTTATTTTCTCACCTCCAGGAGCTGGTGGCCACCAGCTCCGAGTATGTGTTCTTTTTTTTCTCACCTCCAGGAGCTGGTGGCCACCACTCTCTCTCACAACCGCTTTCAGGTTTCGAATGGGAGAAAACGCACTTAGTATCCTGAAAAACAAAGGAAGAAAAAAGCATTTACATTGTCTTGAAAAATGTGAAATAAACGCTGTTATTAAAAAATATTCCCTGAGACGTAACCATTAGGAGCTGAGAATATTTACAGACAAAATATGACAGAACTCACTCTGCAGCCAATGGTGTACACGGTCCAGAGGAGGTGACGGCCCTGATGCTCTTGTAGTCTTTGTTGTCTGTGATGAGAGTCCACTGCTGAGAGTGTCGGAACCTAGAACATCGGACCAGGTCATTCTGACTCCACTCTGGATATGACATAGTCAGAAGATGAAAGAAAACAGCTACAAAATTATTGATTTTTCAAGAAGGTAACAAAAGGTATTTTTCACTTCCCTTTAAAGTCACTCCACTATCCATATTATTAACATTGGTTAATTACAGATAAGAGCATATCTGAAACAACTCAGATACTTGAGATGATATATTAAAGATACAAAGACACCAGTGTGTAGTGAAGCATCTGTAGCTTTGCACACCATCTACTAATGTGCAATCAGGTTGAACGGTGCTGTAGCACAGAAACAGATGGCTTCACTCTGTTAAACCCCGTTAAACCTTTAACCAGCAGGCTGCTGTACTGTAGGAGCAGGAGGCTGGCAGGCACTACACGAAGAGACACTAAACACAGAATTAGAAGAAACTATTAGAGTTGTTTTTCATATAAATAATAGTAAACCTATCAAAACACTTCCTGGAATTGATACGACATGTTCATTTTCAATGTAGTGGTTAGTTAAAATAGGATATTTTTAGCAGACTATATCTGCTGTCACTGAAACACTAATTTTACTGAACAAACAGTAAATCTTCTGTCCGTGATGTTGAAAGAACCTCAGTCTGTTACTTTAAATAGCTAATCATTACTTCACAAGATAATAAGAACAGTTATTTTGTTCTTAAAGAGTTTTTTTCTTCGTAATAAATTGACCTCTCACAGTGAGGTCTCACATGGATCCAAGTCATGTTGCAATGCACATGTAACAATGTTCTGAGAATATTTTAAGGAAAACCAACTGCTTAACATCAGTTTCTTGTTTTAAACAACTGGACTGTGTTTACAAAAAACACACACTGACTGAAACTGTGTTTGCTTGTATATACTACTGTAGTATTCTTAAAAGTACTAATGTTTGAGTTTTTTTTTTTTTTTGACCAATTCCACACACCTATTGGTACCATCCCAATCTTTGTACCGACAACTTACTAATAATTAGCTAGAATACTTCAAAGACAAAGACGTTTAACTTGATTAGGTAAACTTTGATGATGATTGATTTCTCATTTGTATAAGTGTTGGGGAAAAAAGCACATCAATGAATTAAAATAATATTGCACGCTTGGGTTCAGGGGGCGAGGGGGTGTTTTCAAAAACATTAATGGGCTTCCATTAATATCAATCTACATATTTCCATCAACGAAGCCACCTCACCTGCAGTCACAGTATAGACATGGAGCTCCTGCAGCTGTTCCTCCTTAACGTGGGCAGAAACGGGTACGGAGAAACCGCTGACTTCTCCGTACACACCGTTGACATGCCCGGGCTCCATGTGTGTCTAATGCCGTCTGCACTTTATGACGAACTCCTAGACATCAGATACCGCAAGTGTATGTGAGAATTTGCGGTGGCCAGAGCTGTTGACAACAGAATTCATGGTTTAAACAATCACACTCAATCAACTCAATAAATCATTTACAGGAGTTTTCACAGACTTTTTCGCCTCCTCTAGACCACAACGGTTTACCACAGAGATGAACACAGTACCATCGCCTCCATATTGAATCATTGACTGGACGATACCAATTTGTTAAGACTTCAGGGGTGCAATGGCTGAAACGACCAGCGGAGGGCGGTAGTGGGTCACCAAGAAAAATTAAATTGTCGTAAAAATGTTTTATCTTTTACAAATCATCCTGGTTTCTCTTAACTCTGGGTATTAAACAGTCAAAACACAAAACGAGTTTAGAATCATCAAACTCATATTGAATGCACCATCTTTCAGTAGAATAGATGTCATCTTCAGCTGCAATTAAACACCTAAGGTCAGTGTTTCCCAAACTTTTTCTGCAGCACCCCATTTGACACATTCACAGCTATTGCTTCAAAACTCCATTTAACTTTATTCACACTTAAAAAAGTAATAAAAAATGAAGAATCTGTAGATTTATTTATTTACACTTTGGAAACCACTCCTATTGGTATTTATGTTGTTTGTTTTGGTCTTGTAAAAGTTTGTCAAATAACAGTATGGCTGCCTCTTCATAGATACACATTCTTGATGTTAATAAAACTGGCCGCCTTTCTGGTTAATGTTTATCGTTTTCAGGTGTTTGCTCTTATGGGCCATTTTACCATGACACAAACACAATTCTTATTTTGAGTACCAGTATGGTGTGTGACAACAAAAAGATTAATTCAAATTATACCAAAACCCAAGGAAAATACACTTTTTACAGTTAAAAGTATTTCTTCCTGGCTGAATCATTCTAAAGAAGATAAACTACAATTTTTGGTGTACTTATTTGTAAAACGTTTTTTCTTCCAGTTGTGTAATTCAATTGTTTTGGTTGTTTTGTTTTATGTCACAATTTGAGTGGTCAAATTAAATACAGCAAATACTTCCGTAAACAGGGATTTCAACGGAACCAACCTGGCAACCCCGGCTGCCGGTCTGCTGTGTATTTACTAGGGAGAAGATGGTGGACTTCGTGACAGCAGCGTGTTCTAAACTCCGACCTAAACTCTCTGAAAAAATCTCTCTGTCTCAACCTGGGATTAGATATAGATTACCTGGGGACAACCACAGATAATATTTAGCAAATTTAGCAAAGAAAGTGTTTTTTCCGCTCCAAGATAAACTCTTTATTTCTAAAGGGGAGGAGAGAGTTGCGGAACGTGGTGGCGGTTTGTACAGGGAGAAGGACGCTAGTTGCTGTTAGCTCCAAGTGACAACACTTGGTTGGAAAGGAAGCACTTTCCCGAGGACTGACACCGAGTCATTCTGATAAAACCAGGACGCCACATTGCTGCGGCTGCAGCTATTGCCACCTTTACAACAGACAGTTGATAAAGCAGTAAGGAGCGGCAGAGAGCAGGCTAAGTTCGGCTGGCTAACCTGAGCTAACTGAGTTGTTAACTGTTGGATCAAAGCGGTGAGACAAAATGCCTCGGAGTAAAAAGGGCAAACGTGGCTCCGGTAAAGCCGGTAAGTTGTTGTTATTACTCAAGAACTGCTTTTGAAATAATCGAACATGTTACTGGTGAGAATGACAACATTGTTAGAAGTAAAAAGACAAAGTTAAACTTTGAAACCAATGGGTTATGGTGAGTGAATGGTAAAACAGAATAACAGCACAGGCACTGCTTCGTTCCATTGTTTTGTAGTCTGTCACGAAGCGTCACATCCACGTGGGTTATATAATCACTGATGTGCTGCTCCAACACTGACACTGTACAACAACCGAGTGCTTTTGTTTGAATCGCTGTGCGTTTATGGTGCACATTGTTGCCTGAAGTACACCCAGGTCACCGGTTTCGGTTGCTGTCGTACAACTGAGATCGATCATGTAATTTAAGCAGCAGCAGCACCAGGCCACTACAGCACAGGCAACAAGTGCTACGGCCTCAGTCAGTATACACAGAATGTTAATTTACTCATTGATACACACCTATGCAGATTCTCCGTCAATGCACGGTACAGTGGTGGTGTGGAGCATGCATGTGCCTGATAGGGCGGTTGCCCACTTGTCACGTTTTGTGCGGGATGTTGAGTGGAAAGTGTACACGTGCTGGGAGTACGCGCACACATGTGCAACCAGTTATATAGACTAGACTGACATTAAATGCTGAGTGCTATTTTTTATTTAACATTTTCGATCTTCTTCACATCACATCGATGTGTAAAACGTTTCTCTACTTGTTGCGCAGACTTGTGATTAGTAGAATTAAATTGCTGGGAGACAGAGCTCTAATGTTTAATGGGGTTCTTTACATAAAAATATGTAATTAATTTGCATCCAATTCTGCTCATTTACCATCCATCCACCTTTCTTCCTTCAACCCGGGCCCCTTTTATTTTATCCATTCATCTACTTTATCCCTTCGTCCATACATCATCTCTAGGCTCTCTCCGTCAGGAGGTCCTACAGCTGTCAGCTAAAGCATCTCTGAAAGGTAACTCCTCTGCCCTTTGGTCACCTGACCTCAGCTGTATGTCCGGCCCGGCTTACACAGCATATGCACCCTGGCTGCTCATCTGAAGCTCTTGAACTTCACTATAGTGTATGGAAGCAATTCAGCAGGCAGTCACCTCATCATCCACCCTGTGTTATTTACATTTGTGTTGTCTGAACTTATACACCATTTAACCAGACACCTAACTGTTTATGCCATAAGTTCTTGTTTCGCTGCTCAGCGTCACTTAGCATCATATCAGATTGTATGAGCATTACGCTTTGAATGACCTGTCATCACACCAGCTGAGAAATCATGCAGTCATTCTGTGGACATGACTGAAGACAACCACTATGGAAAAGCAGAAATAGAGGTGTTACTCAACAAACTACACTTGGTAAAAAACGGAGACATTCTGGTATTGTTTTGACCGTAACTTTGTGTGGGGAAGCTATGCCAAGGTCACCACTAATCAAACTGGGATTCACACAGAAAAACCAAACAAGTCTAATTTTGCTTCAATACCAATAACAACCAATGAATTAACCATTCATTTAAAGAAATTGTGCCGTGTACACCTGCAATACCTAATAGTCCATGATTCACAATCATAAATAGACCCTTACTATATCGGGTCAGGGGAGTTCCTCTGTGCTGGTTTTAACTTCTCGTCTGCTACAGCTGTAACTACTTGCAAGCAAAGTGTAGCATGGGAAGATGACACGTGAGTTGTTGCAACAAGCACTCACACACACACACACACACACACACACACACACACAGTTTACCCTAGGCAGGTCTGTGTGGGAAGACCTGCCCACATACCATGTGTGTATTACTGTAGGGGAGGAACCAGCAGGAGTTCAAGGATGGTGAAATGGAAATATCAGTAGTCACTTGGGCCTTATCTCAGTAATTACTAAGACTGTGTGTGTTGGCAGTTCAGTCACGGAATACATTATTACACAAGAAGGATTGTTAGGAGTCCAGTCAGGTTTATCTTCCATTAGAACAGGATTGAACTCAGAATACATTTAGAACAGTTTCATTGTCTGTCATCTTTGTCTCAATTTAAAGAGCATCTCTACACTGTCACAGTTTACCAACCAACAACATAATTGATGAATAATTCAATAGTATTACATTTAGTTATTTACAACATGACTGGGTTGCTGGGCTGTAACTGATTGATCATAATGTGACCAAACTGCCACTGGTCCATCTGGTGACATTGGGCTCTGATCAAAGTCCGTCTGATATCTGATGTCAGAATTTTCCTTTTAAAATACAGACATCAGAGTGAATGCAGTTGTACAGTTAGCAACCATTATTATTATTATTCTCCAATGAGTTAGTCTGAGTGTCATCACAACAACTTCAGCAGCAAATACAAAATGGCACAAGGTAAAGTGGTCAATCACCTTAGCAGTTGTGGAGCATTTAGCTCATGAAGCTTTGCCTCTTGGTTTTAGCTGACACATTGACAAGGGAATAGTAGCAGTGGTTTGTCCACAACTGTCTGTCCACAGTAGTCTTAAGCAGCATATGGTTAACACACAACCAGCTCGGAATAATAAGAAATAGATTTTATTGGTAAGAGAAAACCAAATCCATGTTTCACTGCAGACATACAGTATGAACAATGACCTCAAAGTGACCTTTGCATTCACTTCTCGGTATGTGCAAGTTAAAAACGTCTTTTCGATGCAGACATGTCCAGTGTCTCAGAATAGTTTCAGAGGAAAGGAGAAGGTCTAACTCCTCTTGCTGAGGTTTGTGAATGACAAAATTAGGGTTTGACGTGCGGCCCTTCCAGTTTGTGTGCGTCTCTCTCTCTGCGCAAGTCTGTGCCGGAGGTGTACAGTTACTGACAAAGAGAGACAGCTGAGCAGAGGAAGCCTACAGTCAACTTCCTTTAACCTGCTATTACTCACTGCTGGCCACCAGCCTGATAAAGGCTGATTCACTTGTTCACTGTGAATAGGAAGGATATAAATAAATTACTTTTACTTTAACACTAATGAGAATGGAACAAATTAATAGATCTAGTTGTAAGTCATGCCAGTGCCAGTTCTGTCCCATTTAGCATTAATATAGCCTTGCAATCCTAATAATATTTTAGAAAGCCTATATAAAATGTTAAATACCTAAAAAAGGTTCTAGGATTTGGATAACTAGACCCCACCTCTTTTTAGTAGGTCCCACAAACTCCGACGTCGGGACTCTGTGGTTATCAACTTGAAGTTTCTATTTAATGACTTTGATCACCTTCTGTTCATGAATGTTTCATCCACATTCCATTCTTTTTCCTTCCAATAACAATAACCTTCTAAAAAAATCTATATTTCTCTCTCAATAAATTCTTCTTCTGTCTCTCTTCTTACCTTGTTCTTGTTCTTCTCTAGGTAATAAAAATGGAGTAAAGGGAGAGTCGGGTGCCAGTGAGGATGAGTTGACGTCCGATATTCTCAGCCACTACAGCAGCGCCAGTGAAACGGCGTCTGTGCAGGAAGAGGGCACCGGTGAGCAAATAAACACTTAACATCACCAGTGTTTGTATGCTGGTTCAGGTACTTTTGTTGGGAAGCATAAAGAATTAATCCAGCCTTTCTGTTTTGTCTCTAAAATGATATGTGCATCCTGAAATTAGGTGGTGAGCAGGTGGATGAGCAGACGGCCCAGGAGGAAACGGAAGACAAACTCAAACAGTGTATAGACAACCTGATGGATAAGAGGTGAGGGGTCGTGGCATTAGTGTCAACTTTTAAGTGACTTAAAAACTAATAAAATATCTTACCAAAGAACTGAGCTGAAGCAGATTCTTTATAGTAGTTCCTGATTATCCTCTCCTTTCTCTAACTCAGTGCTAAAACCCGTCTGGCTGCCCTTGCGTCGCTGCGACAGGCCTTCTCCTCCAGACTGCTGTACGACTTCCTGACTGAGAGACGGCTCACCATCAGTGACTGTCTGGAGAGAAGCCTCAAAAAAGGTGAGACCTGGAGATGTAGAAAACCTTTCTATACAAGACAAGTCAATTTGAATTTATGTACTTGTCAGAGTAGCACCACCAGCCTAACTGACCTCTGCTCATGTCCAGGCAGTGGAGAGGAGCAGGCAGCAGCGGCCACACTTTTCGCCCTGCTGTGTATCCAGCTGGGAGGTGGAGACGAGGCAGAGGAAGGCTTCAAGATGCTTCAACCCGTCCTCACAAACATCCTAAATGACGACAGTGCCAGCATAGCAGCCCGGCAGAGTGTGAGTTGTGGTGTATAAACCGTCGTCATGTTTGTCACTGTTGCAGTTGTTTTCTGTCCAGTGTCTATTTTGGACACAAATGTCTGACGTTAAACATTGGGTCTTATTTTGAATATTTTTAAGCACCACTCCCTGTGCTTCATCCAAAATGATTTGACGCTGTCTCGTTTAAAGATGTGTTTCTAAAGCTATGAGTCGAAAGTTGAAAAGTTGTTTGTTTTTAACATTTAAATTGTACTTTATGATTATTTCAGTGTGCCAGAGCTCTGGGGATGTGCTGTTACGTGTCTACTGCTGAAAATGGAGAGGTAAGAGCAGAAGAGAACAGAGAAAACACATTTTTCTAAATAAACTGCAGTGCTGTTAATCATGAGACCTCATTTCTGATTGGATAGTTTGTGGACATCTTCTACCCTCACAGGACTTGATCAAATCCCTGGCCCTCCTGGAGACCATTTTCATGTCTTCCTACGCAAACAGAGAGGGGGCGCTGCCCACACTCAAACCTGGGATTCCTGGCCTTCACAGCGCTGCTCTGCAGGCCTGGTCACTGCTGGTCACACTGTGCCCTGCCTCCAGACTGACTGTACTGCTGGACCTGTGAGTGCAGCAGCAGCAGCAGCGTCATCATCATCAACAGCTTCATCACTGCTGTTATAACTACTGTTCTGATCCAACAACAGATAACTCACTGCTGTTTTCTCCCCTGCCTGCAGTCACCTCCCCAAACTGCAGGAGTGTCTGGAGAGCAACGACGTCAACTATAGGATCGCAGTGGGAGAAACCATCGCTCTGCTCGTGGAGCTGGGGAGAGACATCGACGAGGTGAGTACAACTGCTACTGTGGTAAACTGAAGATTGTTAACCTTTAAAATCTCTTTTGTTTTCATTCTTGAGAACATTTCCCAATTATATTCAGAATTGTAATGTTCTGTAGTACATGTTGCATCTGTTGTCACGTGTGTGTGTGTGTGTGTTCAGGGCTTTGAGGTGGAGGACAGTGAAAGTCTGTGCGAGTGTCTAAAGAGTTTAGCAACAGATGGCAACAAGCACCGAGCCAAGAATGACAGGAGGAAACAACGCTCCATCTTCAGAGAAGTGCTACATTACATAGAGGTACGATTTCTAAACACTGAAATGTTTCACAATTATTTTTATATATGAGGGTAAGTCAAAAAAGTTCTAATACAGGTGTCATAATTACTAAGTGTCTGACTTTAGTAACGAATACATGATGAGACGTGGATCTAAACGTAGAGTTGTTTTAGACCCAAGTAGGGTTACGTTGATATTAGCATTCTTATTCTTATAAACAATTTGTCTCAGAACTTTTTCAACTCAGCCTTGTACATTTGTACACTTGTCATTTTTATAACTTTTTTTGGAACCTGCTTCATGACAACTCACCTCTCACACCGTGGCAGAGTGAAGACTTCTCTGAAGAGAAGATCAGATTTGGACTGGAGAGCATCTACATCGATGGATGGATGAGGAGAAGGATCTATGACGCTTTCAAAGATATCCTGGAATCTGGAGTCAGACACCACCTACAGGTCAGGAGACAAACTGAAACTAAAAGTGAACTATTGATGATACTGTATATTTTAGACAAAAAGAAAAACATCTGGCTACATTTTAGCTCCTAGCCGACCGCACTTTTAACTATCAAGATGAAAACGATTGTTCTTTCTACATTTAAGAAATGTTTTTCAAACTTTGATAACATTCCTGACTTTGACAGTGAGGTCCTTGAACTGGAGTTTGGTTTGGTGAGTGACGATGAAGTTGTTAATCCTCCATTAAACTATGTGTGTGTTTCTGTTGTGTTGCAGTTCAATCCACTACTGAGAGACATCTTTGGCCTCGGAGCTCCACTCATTATCGACCCCACTGTCAAAGCCAACAAAATCTCCCGGTTTGAAAAAGTACGACCATCTTGACTTTCACTACCGTGTCACATAAGAGATTTTAAAATAACCTTACAAAATCACATGACATACAGCGGTCACACCAGGCAGAATGTGATATTTTATGTTTGACGTCATCAGAGAGAAACTGTTAACAACTGACAAGACAAAGAAAAAACAAAATCAGTTTAAAAAGAATTAATCGATTCTTCTTCTTCTACAGCATCTATTCAACTCTGCAGCCTTCAAGGCCAGGACTAAACTGAGGAGCAAAGTCAGAGACAAACGTGCTGATGTCATGTAAGGGGTGGGAGTAGGAGGGGGTCGGGGAGGGACGGAGTGAAGGGATGACAGCAATCGGAGGAAATTTCCGGACTATGCTGATGGACACACAAACGATGCCTTTAATGCTTTTACCGTCAGACTCACAGCTGGGCCTTGACACTTATCAGTTCCACTGCTGCTCAACACACGGGGGGCCACACTGGGCCCCCACCCAAACACAGAGTTAGTCACTGTGAGAAGCCAAGTTTAAACCAATGCTAAAGGTTTTCTTTAAGGGATTTAAAAATATCTTGATTTCACATGAAAACAGAGAAAGTCATGTATTTAATGACTCTGCTGGTCGTCTGTGGAGTTTTATGGTAACAGTCACACAGACCAGCTCTGGTGCTGATGGGTATTTTTTTTTAGTACCCTGCCTTCCGCTGCTGTGTGTGTGTGTTTTAACTCATCACTCACATTTAGTTACTGTTGCCTTTACAACAGGATCTGAACCAAAAAAAGAAAAAAGATTAAATATGTTTCAATATAACGTCAGTCACACCCCAGAGCTGCCAAACCACAAACTGACTTATGTGGAAAAAAACAAACCTGTGTTGTTTTTGTGTGACTGCGTGTTTTATCTGAGCTTTATTTAAACACCATCAAGTATAAAAATACAACCATACCTGATTAAATGAATGGAAATCAATGACTTCATATTGTAATCTTTTTATTTTTTGAGGGAAAAAATACATTTTAACCATTTTCTGATGGATAACTGTGTTTAACTTTTATAACTTATTTAAAATATTGAGTGATTTTTAAAATACATTTTAAGACGTTTACAGAAACAAGTATTTGAAGATGACAGAGTTTTTTAATTGCAGTGCTGTTTCCTGTACTTGAATCAACAAGAGCAATGACTGAGGATTTTGTCCCAGTGGACAGTAAACACATCACAGGGTCCATGATGACTTTTTTTTTCTGAACTTTGTTGGAAAATAAAATAATTCCACATCTGTTGACCTGGATTGACCTCCACTACACTATCTGAAGTCACGAGGATCAAATCAAATAAAGTCTGTGACCACTGTGTTCTCCTGTCATTTGGTCTCATGTCACTCAGCTATTGTCAGAGAAATTCAAATATTTGTTCTAAATACTTGTTTTTAAAGTCAATGATAGGAATAAAAAATATGAAAGATTCAAGATCAGTTTTAACACTGAGTTACAGCTGTTATTCAAAATAATTCAGCATTCCTAAATGCAAAGAAAAGCGATATTAAACATTCACATATTAAATTCCACAGTTTTAGGCCTGATTCATATTTTCAGTGTTACAGTTTTTAAAACCTATAGAACAGTGGTTCTCAAACTTTTTATACTCTGTACCACCTGAGAAAACACTGAGCTCTCTCTGAGTGCCACCATGATGACCAACATTGGAGAGATGTTTGTTTGTTTAAATGTATTCATTGTAAGTGTGTAACAGTTTGAGAACCACTGCTATAGAGTATGTTAGTAAATTTACTGAAATTAGATAAGTGGACCGTATTTCTTAATACACAATTAATCCCAGTTAAACTTCATTAGTGCGTCGTAGTAACTGCTCAAACACAGTGTCAGCTCCACAAACCTCTGGTTTAACGCTTAAACCCAACTGTCCCCAATGGACAGCAACAGCAGTGATTGTTGTTTTACTCTTTGATTCAAGAACTTCAAACAAACTAAACTGCAGTAAATGCAGTATTTGATCAAAAGCACCTGGATATTTGTTAGTAATTATTTTGGTCCAACACAGACTGGTATGAAAACCGTCCCAAACTATCTGATCCGTTTCTGACGAAGGCCTGGACCCAGAACTGAGTTTAAACATCATTAACTGACATTTTCAAACGTAAATCTAGATTATATTCGCAGATTAGGTCGCAGACATTCTGCAGAGTTTATCCTCTCACACTAGGAACATGTGAGAGGACAAGATCTGGAGGAGGTGTGTCCACAGCAGCAGGAGATTCTCCAGAGGATTTAGACAAATGGATATTGGCCTACAGGAAGTGGGACAGTAGATGTATTTATAGACGTAGTTTCACTAATGCCTTGGTTTACAAAAAAAATAAATGGAGCATCCTCTGACTCTCCACAGATGTTTTTAGACTCTGATGTAATTCTATTTTGGAGTAAATGTGTGAAAACTGAAACCAGAATCCTCCTGGAGCTGCTAGATTCTCTGGAGTTTCTCCTGCTGTTTTTAGAAATGTACATCACATCAGACGACCTGAGTTTAGTTTCTGTCCAAGAGTCAGGATGTTTGTTCTTTACTCCTCCCATATAAACTAATGTTTGTAATAATATTAACATAGTTCACTTCAGTTTTCCCTCCAGTTCAATACTGAACCACTATGTAAAACACAACAGCCTTCACTTTGCATATTTTTAACCCAACCCAAATTCAAGCATTTTTAAGGATTTCAAGCACCCGTTTGAACAAAGTCAGGTTAAATTTGAATTTATGGTAGGAAAAAAAGTCCTTCATAATTTTGCCTGTGAAACAAAAAAATTAAGTCCTTCATAATTTTGCCTGTGAAACCAGTCAAAATACTTCAAATAGAAAACACTGAGTGTCAGTTAACTATTTGTACTTTTTCTACGATTCTTTAACTGCCGTTCACAGCCTTAAACAGAAGAGGGCAGTATTTCCACATGAAGGGAGAATCAAATGAAAAAACTGCAGCTGGTGTTATTCAGTGTAAAAAAAAAGTTTTACGTATATAAAAAAAATTAACTTTTTTTTTTTTAAAAACCTGAATTTCAAACCAAGATTATTTTCCCTTTACAACAGTCTACTGAATTGATGGACTTTCATAGAAATGAACTCATATCTAGGAATTTCACTGTTGGAATTAGATTTTGTGCTTGCGTGTGTGTTCAGTATGTGTGTCCTTATCCAGAGTAGTAGTTGGTTGGAACAAAGGGCATCTTGCTGACCGTGGCCGGCACCGCCTTCTTCCTGACCTCCACCTGGATGCTGGTTCCATTCTTAGCGAAGGCAGACTCCACATAGCCCATGGCAATGTTTTTCTTCAGGCACGGTGAAGGGCAGCCGCTCGTCACCTCACCTTCATCACACCAGAAAAAAAAGAAAGAAAAAAGAAATCTTCTGCGTCAGTCTGGACTAATCTGTGGTGAACTGATCTGATTTGACTGCAGGTTAAAGTTCGCTCACCTATGACCCTCCCATCTGGGCTGAGGATGGGCGTGTGCGGTCTGACAGGGGGGCCTGTGGACAACAGACCCACTCTCTTTCTGGCTGTCTTGGCTTTGATCTGGGGGACGATGACGTCAGCTCCAGGGAAATCCTTGGTCTGACGTCGACGTTTTCCTGATGAGGCGTTCAAAGACAGACACGTCAGAGACAGTGATGCTGTCAGTGCTCCATCAAAGTGATTAAAGTTTGACGAGATCATCTTTGAAATAAGGCCAGGATAATATGGGTTTAAAGACGTGTCCACTGTCCACAACCAGGTTATTTATTTTATTTATTTTGCTGTCATTTGAAATAAAATAAAAAAATAGAACAACAGCATTTAGCAAAGAATAGTCAGTGTTTCATAAGTAATTTGTTTTTAAATCACTCAAATAACTTTGTCTCTTCTACATCAATCATTTATGTTAATGAGTCTTGAGACAAATTATTGTCCTATTCTGTAGAATCAGCAGAGACAAAATAATGAGAATTAAAAGAAGAAACAATCACTGTAATTTAAATCAGTGATTCCACTAAACAATGAAATAAAGTTCAAATCAGTGCAATGTCAACACTGTGGCAGAATGGACCACTGACCCAAAAGAGAATCTAATATAAAAATAATCCTAAAAATAAATACATTGGCTTCATTAACATCCCATAATAGACAACAAATGACTGAAATACAGATAAAATTTTTTCTCTAATCAATGTGAGACTAACATGAAAAGGTGTCTCCGTACAATGTTCTACAGCAGAAAACTGGTTTAAAATATATATATATATATATATATAAAACATTCAAATAAAACACTTCACCTAAGGTCCAGACCAGAGTGGCCTCCACTGGGGTGGTGGTCTCGTCAATGTCGTTGCCATAGAGACACAGACCAGCCTCCAGCCTCAAACTGTCTCTGGCACCGAGGCCAGCCAGCTTCACCTCACTGTGGTTCAGGAGCTTCTCCGTCAGCTCCACCACTCTGGACTGAGGGACGGAGATCTGAGACACACACACACACACACACACACACACACACACATGAGAGAGTGTGTTTTCATTCAACTTTAACAAATGTCAACAGAGCAGGGCAGTAGGGACGTCCTCACCTCCACTCCGTCCTCTCCAGTGTATCCACAGCGTGTGACTCTGCAGCCAGGGACACCAAACACTGTGGCCAGTGCGGAGGTCATGAAGGTCAGCTTACTGAGGTCTTCCTTCAGACCCTCCTGCAGCACACGTGACATGGAGGGTCCTGAGAGCACAGACACAGAATCATTCAGCTGCGGTGTTTCCACCTCAGGACCCACTTCTCCAGGTTTGTTCCCTTGTTCCTTCCTCCTCCAGCATGAGTGTGAGGGGAAATTGGTTGCATGTGTGTGTGATTAGTGAGGCATGACTGGTTCAGGTGGCTCCTGCGAGCTGATTGGTCGAACATAATGAGCCTGATTCTGCCAGCTGCTGGGAGAGACCTGCCAGCAGCCAACACTGCTTTTTTTGTTTTCATTAACAAGAATTAAGAGGAATTTAATAGAGTTAACTAATTCAAGAAAGGTTAGTTATCTCCTATCTCAGCTAAGACTGTTGATGGAGCAGGTTCTTGAAAAACCACAGAGTAATTTGACTGATCTCAACATAAGTTAGCTCTTAAGCAAAGGTGGATTTAAAACTAAAAAATAATTAGACATAGATTTAAAATATTTAAGGAATTTAAAGCTAGCAAAAAAGGCTAACAATTAACAAAACAATCTGGCTAAAATTTGCCAAAGGTAGTCACACAGTAGTTATACATACATTGTATATAAAAAGTCAGAAAAGTCATTTCTCAAATATCCAGAAACTAAAGGAGTGAGTAATCTGACCCTGTAGAGC